CTTTTTGAAGTCGGACAAGATTTGCCCCAAGAGCCTGTCACTTACCAGCCAATCAAAAAAAAAAACGAAAGGGCCTACACAATAGCCAATCAGAAAATAGTACTACTGTATCTGGGTAAAATACAACACAACAACCAATGAAAAGGCATCCTGTGGAATGTCACTCTTGCCTGTCTTCAAAACTTGACAGCCCTGTGACTCATTTCTACATCCTGATTTCTGTAAAACAGCAGCGTGACATCGCCGCTACTGAAGGAGCCGTGGACGATCGAGTGACCAAGGAGAAGCCCCAGAAGAAGAGGATCAAGTTTGGACGGAAGTTTCCATGGTTGAAACTCGTGAAGTCGAGAGCACAGGAGAGGTAAGGCCCAAGATTTCTTTTGAGCTCTAGCTTTCTCAGTATCATAGCTGAACTCTCTGCTCATGGCCGCACTCCTGGCTCTTCTAGCTCAGACGACGATGGACATGTGTCAGTTGACTGCAGGGACTCTGGGGACAGCGACACCCTCACGAGCAGCCAGAGTCCCAGCCTTGTCACTGTGGACTCAGAGGTACATACTGTAGATCAGAGACATTTCCAGTGTGATTCTGGAATACAGCTGCATCTCGGTTTTCCCGTCTAAAACAGAATTTTTTTGTTTCCTCCAAGTCACTAACATCTGGAACCTCCCCTACTGGAAGCGATGTAGAGGAGCAGCAGTCCCCTCCAGGGGTGACACGTGACATTCCACCTAATGAGGGACCTTCCCAGTCCCTGAGAAGGTAACCAATATATGTAAGATCGCAGTGGCAAATCTGTAATGAACTCTATTAAGATGTGCGATAAGCTTTTTATTATTTATTTAATTCTTTTTCTCCTGCGTCGGCTCCTCTTTAAGGATCCCCAAGTGGCAGATTCTCCTCTGCATGGCGGACAGGGGTGATGCAGGGGATGGAGAGCACCAGCGGCTGGTCTGCCTCGGGTAAGTGCTAAGCTCCTGTGAACCTTCTGGAACAGGCTTCCCCAACTGCTACAACCAGCATCAAAGATATAGGTGGGCGAGGGTTTGAGGCACGTATCTTTCGCTGTCTTTCAGGCTACCAAACCTGGGACAGACCTGCTACATGAATGCCACCTTGCAGTGTTTCTTCCACCTGCCAACATTCTGCAAGGACGTCAGGAGGCAGGAAGAACACTGGGGTTTGGTCCCCTATGCCGACCTGATCAGGTACCCAACACAAGCATCCACATCATACGATCTCTGTCACACAACTACATACATGTGAATTTTCTATTGCTATGTCCACATGTGTTGCTGCCCTAATCACAAAAAGTTATAATGATCTGCTTGAAAGCGGAGATACCAACTCCAGTTCTCTGCCTCTCTTGACTTGCAGATATTTCTCTGATCTTCTGTCTGCAAGATGTGGTTCAAGGTCAAGGCAGAAGAAGACTTTGCTGAGAAACCTGATTCATACGGTTTCTGACCAGTTTGCTGAAGATGAGCAGAATGTAAGTGAATCACTATAAACTATTCTGAAGTCAGTAAAGTTTTCTTTAGGATATTATGGTTGACTAAGGAATATACAATGATGAAAACACTCCTTATCCTGAATAATGTTAAGCGATCTGTTTCATATATACATTTTCAGTCTGCAAGCATTTTCTGTTTATCTCCTGTCATCTAGGATGCTCATGAATTCTTCAGCTGCCTGATGTCCCAGCTAAACGAGCTGGGAACGCTAATTCAGGCCTGGGATGGAGCAGCAATGTACGCCTGTCCTGTGGAAGGAAACCTGTCATTCCAGATGCTGTGCCAGAGGACGTGTACCAGGTAGACCCTGCTGGTTTTATTGGTTTTGCACGGCTGTCTGAATGAATTACATGATGCTGCCACAAAGACACAAAGCAGTGATACACCATGGATGACTTAGTTCTTACTGAAGCTCCGAATGTTAGTGATTGGGAATATAAGAAATATTCAGTTTCTCAGTATCTCTTTCCACTTTCTTGGTCTCCTGCAGCTGTGGAGCACAATCATCCAGGATGGAAGAATTTACCAGTCTCTCCCTGGACGTCCTCCCACATCTGTCAGTGGAAGATCTGCTGAAGATCTACTTCAAGGTGTCTGTAATCTTGCACACAGGTTCACTCACATCTAGCTGTATTCCAGAGAAACACACGCTCACCCTACCCCTTACTAGCTGGTTCTGAAACATAGAATTGTTGTGTTGTAATGGTCCTGGTGAAAGGCACTAATGGCTGAGTTCTGCTGTGTGCTGATTACAGGATTGTGAGGTAGAGTTCAGATGTGCCACCTGCAGGGGGAGCCATGCTGTCCTGTCATGGGCATTTATTACACTGCCTCGGTGAGTTCATTACTTTCCCAGCAAAGAGGAACAGTCGTATGCATACATGGTGCTCAGTAATGTGCACAGTGTGACAAACGGATGCTTTTGGGTTGAGCTGTATGTAGTTAATTTGCTGATAGACAATGAGGTGTGTGCGTTCAGTGCTGTCCCTCTCCCCTTTCTCATTGACTCTCCTTCTGCATCTGCAGTGTACTGGTCCTGCACATGAAGAGATTCAGCTTCACGCCACAGTTTGAACTGGTCAAAGTGCAGGACCCAGTTCTCCTCCGCAGGGAGATCTCCCTGCTCCCCCACTTCAGGGAGATCTCCCAGCTGACAGGGACACCTCAGGCAGCACAGCTCCCAGAAGCTCACGGGACGGAGAGCCAGACCACAGAGGAGGCACAAATGTAGGTCATCTGCATGGAAATGTACAGCGAATGCCAAAATTAGAGCAGACATACTCCTACACAATGTAAATCCTTTTGAAAATGGGAATCGCTGTAAATAGACAAAGGTTACTTATGCAAATGCATGAACAATAGTCTGATTGTTTGTATCCTCTGCAGGCCAGCTGAAGAACAACCCGGTGATGCCTCACGGATGCTAATTGAAGATGCAGAACGAGATGATGCTTTGGAGGGAGAGAGTGACACCGTCTGCGAGAACCTGCATACAGTGGACTCGCTGCCCCCTGCAGGTACACTGGCCTCAAACACACAATGGGCATTGGTGAACACGTTCACAAGAGGTACCTTAGGGTGCACTTCAGTATACATAATCATAATATACTGTACTATTCAGCAAACTATATAGAGGTAGTCTACAGTTCAAAGAATTTCAGAGTGGTAGTGGTGAAACCAGTAAGAGTAGATCATCTCCCCACAAAACCTGGTGCCAAGGTAGTGGGACGTTCCGGGACAGACCCCTGTCACTGGGCAAAAGAAAGTTACCCACCACACTGTCATTTTGGTTAGACCACTTATTTTATCAGTGTCTCCAGTAGAAATGTCATTTCATCTCCCATCTCATTGTGTTTGGTTTCTCCTGTGATTCCCGCCTCTCTTAAGAAACTGGACCAGAGACAGAGCAGCAAACATCTGCACTGCTGAGGGTAGGGAGAGTTAGAGGAAGACACCTGAGTGAGAGGGAAAGAGAGAGTGAGCTTAGGACATTAGTAAAGTTTAGTAAGAACGGAGAGTAAGAGACACTGGAGGAACGCAGAGTGGTGGAGCTGCCTTAGAGGTAGATGAAGCTCATGGTGAGTTTTCCCATCAGGAGGAGACGGCGGTTTCCGAGACGTCGGAAGGGCAGCCAGCCGGACACCAGTACCAGCTTGTTGGTATTCTCAGCCACCTTGGCTCCAGGGCCACCTCTGGTAAGATACATACTGTAAATACACAAGCGGAGCTCAGAAAGGAGCTCAGTAAGACCTTCTTACCCAAGAAGTCACTGTGTGAGTACTATAATACCACCCACTGCCTTTACCGTTATATTCATTTATGTAACATAATTCTCAGGCAGTGGAAATGCTCATATTCGAGTAGCTACCCAAATGTGATGTTTGTAAAGAAGCTAAATAGTGCTGTGACCTAGTTGGCATATTTAAACCGTATAATCAGAGGACGGCCTGCCTGTCTTTGTCGTAGGTCACTACGTCAGCGACACCTTCAGCGTGGAAGAGATGGGCTGGCTGTCTTTCAGCGACCACGTAGTGACCAGGTCAGAGGAGGAGCAGGTGCTGAGGAAGAGGGAGAGCAGCGCGTACATGCTGTTCTATACCCAGCAGGTAAGCGGAGAAACACAGAATACACTCTGTTACACTGCATCCAGCAGCTAAATACAGTGGATACATACTGTATTCCCCACCCAAGACGCAGTTACACACCTCACTGCAATATGTCAGACCTTCAGAAATATAAAACTGAGTCCTTTGTATTTTATGCTGCACCAATGAAAGCTTGCCACTTGTACCACTTGATGCATTTGTAATGTGGTACATGTGCTCTTTTGTAGGAGTCCTTACACTGAAGACCACTGATGCCTCCATACTGGGGACCATGTCTTAAAAAGTAGGTAAATGCTGTGGTTTCTGGTTTTGTTGAGCCAAAAGAGGAAGGAAACGGTACCAATGAGTGTCTGATTACAGGTACGGACATAGAGGAGAACATGGAAGAGGACCGGAAGGACACGGAAGAGGACCGGAAGCACACGGAACAGGACCGGAAGGACACGGAACAGGACCGGAAGAACACGGAACAGGACCGGAAGGACACGGAAGAGGACCAGAAGCACACGTTTATATGACCCTGCGTCATGGTTTCAGCTTAGAGGACTGTTTGCCCAAATCAACTTCGAGCTGCCAACCTGAGGGAAGTTGCCAGACTTAGAGCTGCCAGACAGCAAAACCAACCTGAATGGCAGCAAGTCCCGTCAGCCATGTTCCTGCATCTAATGGACAGCCTCCTCCGATGAGTACTGGCTGTCATAGCAGCAATGGGCAGACCGCCTTCTTATAAATGTCCTTGGGTTTTCAATTAGATCTTGCACGAGCAGGGTTGGGGTTCCTTTAAAGGTTAGGGTTACTCTCAGGGTTAACTCTAACCCTAATATTAACCGTAAATCTTGTAAATCTTATCCTAGCTGTAACCCAAAACACTAAAATCCAACACTACCGTAGCTAATGCAAGCTTTATTCATGGCATAAAGGTTAAAATGCCCGGTAATTTCCTGTCACAACAGCACAAATGCACGTAAAATAAGTACACGATTACACTAGTATGACGAGAAATTGCCATCTCGCCCTCAGCTAGGCGAATGATGTCCCTCTCTGATTTTGCAGATTCTGCGCACGTCTGTACATTGCCGTGATACCCTTGAGAGAAGTACTAAATAGCTTTAGTAAAGATTCACAATAATTGTGCGCAAATCAAATTTGACAATATAGTTGCAGACAGAAGGTTTCCCTAGATACATATGAGATAAGCAAGACACATATGAAATGCACTTGTTTTTGTCCATTTTTATCATTATACTCCAATACAGACATGTCTGTCATAAAATCTAAATGAAATAATTGGCTTAATTTGATTGTGAAAGCACAAACATCTCTTGCTGCCTTTTTAATTAGCCAACATACCATCTTGAAAATGTTTCAATACAATTATCCTGCATGACTGCCAAATTACCACTAGGTGACACTAAAGACTGCTGGGTGATCTACACTTGCATTCATACTGACAGGTTTACTGTACTATACTCATGTATGCAATGGTGTCATGTACATTTACATGGAAAATTATATTTAAAATATCAAAATAATAATATTGCAACAGTTCCTTTATGTGGCTCAGTGGGTAACACAGAATCTATGTGTGTGTGGAGCGCTTGTTCTCTTTGTGATGTGTGGCTTGTCTCTGGGCACACGTAGTTCCCATAGTATGCATGCGGGTGCCCTGCCATACCTGGAACAGGTGCGCTGGGAGCAAAAATGCGGACTGTCTGGGGTTCCCCAAGGACTGGGTTCAGAAACACTGCCCATTGCTGTCTGGAATAGGGACAGTGCCCTTCAAGGTCTTAACTAGCATTAGCAGCTGGAAAGTGTATGTAACAAATTGAATATTATGTGTTACGTAATATGCGCAGTTTTAAAAAAATGTTTATACTTAAAAAAATCCATCCATCAACCCATCTTCCAAGTACTTATCCAGTGCAGGGTTACAAAGGGGGGAGCTGGAACCCATTCTAAATAGAGAAAAGTACAAGGCAAGGGTAACTCCCCAGGCGGGACGTTGGTACTGACATAATAAATGAAAAAGCAGGCTTATGCTCTTTGTCACCATTAAGAATGCATTACCGGCAGTGAAAAGCCATTCTGCTTTTAGGAAAACAGTTGTTTTCCTTGTTCTTCCTGGGCAGAATATTACATTAAATGTTTCATTACAGTCCATCCCTGCTACCCCGACCAGGATAAGCGCTTGCAAGACGGATGAATACAGCTGCCAGCTCGTGAGGATTCACTTGAGTTAGTTAGAGCTTTTCACTTTCAGCTCAGATTGGCTTTGTCACGCCACTCATTGGCCAGCTTGACCCTCTGGCTGCATCCTGACCCCTCCCTTCCCATAATGCCGTGCCAGGTGTGGCGGGGAGCCAGCAGCTCCTGTAGCTACCCCTCGTCGGGCAACTTAGCAGGTTAGGTTTAGTAAAAAGTGAATCACCGCTTTGTGACAATATGCGTAGTTATTACAGAAAGGCACTGGTTACCCTCTGATGCAGATCGCTGACTGCAGGCAGGATAGAATCTTCCAGAAAGAGATGCACTGCAAAGGTAGTTTTCCCCCAAGAATACCTACTTCAACTAAAAAAAATCACTGCAGCTATTTAATGGTTGGGATTCTGAGGTCATCATTTTTTACTACTGTTAGGGAAAATAGTATATTTTATATTATTGTTAATTTGTGATCATGGATGTGAAAGTGAAGTATGAAGGTATTATTGTGATAATTTCAGAATAAATGCCAGTGACTGCAGTGGGAACTTTAAAATTAGAGAAATAATTCATTCGCACTTCAAAAAATAGCTTTGCATTGCACATCACTTCTTTCTGTAGCATTTCTGATTACATCAGTTTACAAACTTATAACAGTAAATATAAAAACAATTATTACGCAGATTGGAAGAGATTACTACAGCTCTTCCATTTTTGAAAGGGAGTAGTGATGTTTAATTTGTTTCCAGCAAAGCTCTACTAAACTGCTAAAAAAAAAAAACAAGCATACTAATATCATAAATATGAACAAGAAAAACATGCGGTTTCTTTTTCAGCTTTTTTTTTTTTTATTGTATATCCAAAAAACATATTTGGAAAACATATCTGTAACAGAGGTAACCATAGCATTTAAACATTATTCTGAATAAAATAGGGAGGGACAGACAGAGAAGTCATCAAAAAAGTCTAGGCGTGACGGCAGCTCTGAATAGAAGAGCTATTTTTGGGTGGTTTGAAAAAGCAGGACGAGCCCTGCCTTCACTGTCCTCAGTCAGCACCGCTAACGGTGGCGGAAAAGGTGGGGAGGTCCTGGCAGGTGGCAAAGAGGAGCCGGCGTGTGCCGACAGCAGCCGGACACCCCCTTCCATGACACCCCCTCCCCCTCCTCGTGCTTCCCTCTGACCAGTGGTGGTCAAATTCTTAGCAAAATCATTCCAGAATAGCAGAAGTCTCAGTTAAAATTAGGGACATTAAGACAGGATAAGTTAAGTAGGTTAACAAACAACAATGAAAAAACTATCTAAGCACTTGGCTATTTAGCTGAGAATCAAACAGGAGTTACTGCTTTAGAAGGGAAATCGCTGCATGACCTAATGACAAGCAAGTCAAGTATGAAACTTGCAATTTATTTTTTGTAAAGCTCATTATGTATGAATGTTAAGGAGTAGTTTTCACAAATTTTTAAATGGTTTATTTTGTTGATGGAATGGAAAATAGACTGATGCAATGTGAATATATTAAACACTTTAAATAAATGAAATGTCTTCGTTTCATTCTTTAAACTGTATATTTTGTTTATTACATTATCCAGGACATGACTGGGAGGACATTAGATCAGCAAAACATTTTTTGTCAATCATTTGCACCAAAACCACAGAGATGCTGAGTTTGGTTTTTTTGATGTCATGTAGCAGTTGTAACAGCAACAACAATGTATCAGATTGTTTTGTTAAATCTTAACTCACGTTTTGGTTATGATTTCACAGTAAATTAGCAAATATTGACAATATGGCTTATGTGACGTTGTATATGTTAATGTTATGGAACATAAGACCTGTAGAATACCTCCTTGAATTCCCATAAATATTTCATATTTAAGGAGGCTTAATTTCACCGTATGCCTGAATAAGCAAAGCTAGTAACAATCCTGACAAACTGAGACAATGAAGGATAAGGCACAATATATGATTGTCAGGCATCTATTCAGCCTGGATACATTGTATATAATCAGCCATTACAGGAAGCTAATAATAGAAAAGGCTTGGATTCTATATGCTGTAAGGAGATACACACAATTAACTTTAGAATATGCTGAAGATCATGGATCTTCTACAAGAAGAAAATTTGTGGTTAACTTTTGTCAAATGTTCTGTGTTTTTTTTCTTTGACAAAATTCATTTGATCGGATGCAGGAACAACAGTTTACTATCAATATTTAAAGTGCTTACATAGTTTAAAAGGCATATAGCTACTGCTAATGGTTAGAACAGCTAGAAATTAAAGCTCAAACAATTATTTCCTTCCCAAAGGAAAAACCTTTGGTTCCAAGCAAATTATTATTGCTATCTTGTTGCAAACCCCCCCCCCAGAAAAAGAAACAAAACAAACAAAAAACATGAAAATGCACATAATTTGTTTAAGAAAACAATGAATTTTAAAGAAAAACATCATTTTAGGAGAGAAAAAAAGTCAGATTTGAGTCATATTTTCCTCTGTGAAACACCAAATTACACATAATGTATTACAGGTAGATTTAATATAAGAAAGCATTAACCTCAAAATAAAGCCATTTGTTTGAAGTGATAAATACTTGTGGAAGTATTTCTGCTTGATGTGATGATTGCTGATTGCTCTTCAAACAACATTAGTCAGTTTGCTGCATTAATCAGATCTGGATATTTGATTCCGTTACAGTGCAGAGTTCTGCCAAGACAGAGAAATTCCTGATCACTACCTGTCTTCCCCAGTCTTCAGAGTTGTGAAGCTGGATACCTGAGTCCCTTTTTTGCTGTAACTCAGTACTGAATGTCTTCATTAGATTTAGCTCCTCAAGAATTACAACTACATAAGTCAGCTTCAAAATGCTACATTCTGTGACTTCAGATCTACTTTGGGAACAAATCTTTCACAAACAGAGCATGCACCCCTTGTGCAAGCAGGAATAATTTACGAGTATGTGAAGAGCAGATCAAAAATAACTATAGGTGTGTATGCATCATGTAAATGGTAAGAATGACCGTAAATATTTACAAACTAACTGCTGAATAGAAAGATTAAGGCAAAGAAAGTAAAAAGCTTAAGGTAGCAGTAGATCATCGAGAATCCAACATTCCTTTACATGATTCCCTGGCTAATCTGCTGAATTTCAGCAGATCTGTTGGATTAGACTCAACTGTATTTATTATCTTAAATGACAGTTTGTTGATTTTCTAAAATGTGTACTTCTCCAGTTCAAGCCCTCTAAATATCTCTAAAGGCAGGATAAATTTGGGGCTGATTATTCTTTGGATAAACTGTACTTTAGCCTGAATATAAAAAAATCAAAACATTAATGTAAATCTGAAATATATGCAGTTGTAAAGCTGTAAAAAAATCTTTCATTCTGCATCCCGCGAAATAAAATGCCGACTGATTGTAATTTTTCACAGAATGTCTGTTACTTTTTTGTATACATTACAGAACTTCTACAACACTGTTAGGTACTGTACTTAAACAGGTGAATTGTGTGCTGTCTAATGTTTAAACATCCCATTTTTATATAGCAAGCAAGCTAAAAACACCACAACCAAGCCATATACATCACAGTGTTACAAAAGAGTGTTAAAAAATAAGGCACTAAAATATTCTTCCAGTTTTTCTGCAAATCTGTAGCTTCTTTTGCCACAGAGGCCTTGGATTGTCGATGATCTACCCTTTTTATGACACTTTTTGTTGTTTTTATGTAAACACCCAATAATCTGAATGGCAATAAAAGAGAAAACATTTTAGTTTAATGCAAATGAAAAGGTTCAGCATCCTCGTTTTGCTGGTAGACTAAGGCACGCATCACTGGGAGACCCTCTCTGTAAGTTCACCCAGAATCCTGCTGCTCTTTCTCACACAATGATTGACTTTGCAAAAACAATAAAAAAAGAAGCTTCTTGGTCCGCAGACTGCACTGCTCTTTGACCGGAGATTCAGTCGCTATTTACTGTGGAACATAACAGTCTCTTCGCACGCAGTCCTCCATTGTCTTGGGGTCAATAAAAACACACTTTTTCACTCTTCCAGATCACATCTTTGTCACTTCCTGGGTCTGCGCCTGCTCTGGTGACTCTGCAGTGGTTACGCGTGCCCATGTACTGATATGCTGGAGAGATCGTTTCTTATGATTTCATTGACTGTGGAGGAAAGGCAGAGACAGAGACAGACGTGTTAATGGCGGCCAGCACAGAGAAGGGCAATGACCCTTCGAGGATGAAACACATGCTGAATGAGTTTGACACAAACAAGTCATCAGAATTATGAATGTGCAAGAATACCATACATACTGTACTGAACCCTGTGAAAACACAAGAATTTAAAATATAATCATACAGTTAAAAGGAAAGAAAACAATTGTCACCTATACGTTTGGAGCAGTTATTCTAGTAAGCTACTCTGCTTTGTGAAGGAAAAATATACAGCTTCTTTTTTTTACCAAAACTCGCGACAAATTATCTTAGGTCAATTATACTTGGTTTTTAAGAAAATGGAGTTTGAAAATTACAGTGATTACAAAATCATACACTAGAATCGAGGCAAAACACCCATTTTCTCAGTTTCAGTGTCAGCATAGTGATGGTGTTTTGCTTTTGTAGGGCAGTAGTGTTTATGACTGCTGATCAATGAGATTTGATTTGAAACACATTTCTGTATTTATATGAATCAGAAACACATTGAAAGAAATTAGAAACCAATTGGCATGAGACTCATCGTACTTTCAGATGCCAAAATTTGCAGACAGTGGATATGGTGTCTGAAAATGTCCAGAGTTTGTATCTGATAGCAAAGCTGAGTGAGAAAGGTCACTTTAGCCGGCCTAAGACTCCTGTCTTTCCTGTTTTCCTGCCCACACCGTTCCCACACTCGAGAAGCCCAATCTCCGCTTTATCGCCTGTGTTCTTTGGCAGATGAGATGGAAATGACGAGCCAGCGGAGGCCGAGCGGCTCAAAGGGAGCCCGGGTACACCTCACAGCCTGGTGATAAGGGACGGATTGGGCGTGGCTGTCCAGCAAGCTGCTCCTAGGAATCCGTCAGTAGCCCATAGCCATGTCAGGGGAGGAAGTCCCCCGTTCTCCACACAAAGCACATTCAATCTCTTTATCAGCTACTGGACATCCAAGCAAACAACCCAGGCTACTGGCTCTGATATCTCCTAGCTGCAAGAAGATCAGCTTCTTGTGTGAAGACCTACAAGAGCAGGACAAGCGATGCCAGACAGTGTCGTAGGCTAACCTACCCAAGATCTGTGAATGAAATGCCTGAAGTCTTCAGAGGTCACCATTATAATTTAAAACCATCCTGTTCAGACTCATCATGCAGGACCAATTTCAGATGCAGCCTATAAAAAACCCCCAACCTTCTACCAGGATACACCTAAGTATGTGTGACATCAATAATGCTTCTACCAATGAACATGCAGAATAAATGTTTATCTCAGTGTTTCAGACCATCACTGATTTTATCACAGGCTGTGGTTATTTACCTCTAACTGATACTATTACATATATGGATGTTAAGGTTAGGGATTAGGGATTGACACACATCCCAGCGATCTGGGAGGCACAAAGACACTCATATATAACCAAAGACTGGAGGAAATGCGTAGCCACATGATTCGCTCTTGTGGGACTTTTACACCGTACACTGTCATCAAGCACTAATCCTTTAAAGAGTCAAACATCAAGCATGGTACAGACCATGGTGTCTTATCAGCTTGAATATCTATGAGAAAAATGAGACACTTCCCAGGTCAGACAGCTTCTTGCTTCCTAGAACTTCAACCCTTCAAGTCTCTAAGTTTTGGCATAGGTGGTTCATGAGCGATCTGTGGCCACCAACACGGTTCTGTGGCAGGCCTCATCTGCTGTGTGAGCGCAGATCAGGCCTGCCACACTTGGCGGTAAAATAAAGCCTTGCTTTGCAGGCGGATTGCAAGGTGAGACGGACTTAGGGGTCAAGAGAGTGGCCTGGATCCTCAGTGAATTTGAGTACGGCACGTACTCAACTTACGTTGGTGGAAATATAGCATCTTTGCATTAAACATGAGCATTAAAGTATGAGTTCATCATTACTGTAGGGTGACCATTAGACTCTTCTGAAAACAGCCACGGCGAAAACTCGGTAATATACTGCTGCCAGAAAGCTGCAGATGAACCAAGAGGCAGCTAAGCAAACGCTCTGCAGACGCCGTAAAATAGATGGAGGCAGAAGCAAGGTGTGCAGCAGCAGACACCCATGTGGAAGCCCTCATGCTCCGGCCTGTAGGAGAAGCAGGGGAACAAAGTGTGATTTGTTTGGAGTATAGGGTTGAGAAAACAGTGCAGCTCCTGCTAGATTTACCGCCCTCCACCATCTGGACAGCTGCAGTCTATTCCTTTGGCCAGTCGCAGGCCAAGCTGACTCCTACTGCGCCAAGGAGTGAAACAATAGAATGGAGGGGGGGCTGGGGGGGGGGTGAATTAGCACGGAGCCACGCTGGCAAGGGAAGGCCTTGGCTCTAAAGGAGGAATTCCCCCTGACCCCGACTCCCACAGTCAGGGGCTGGTTCATCGCTCCGAAGCCTGGATTTCACCCTGAAGAAGCACAGAAGAAACCCGTCCTTTGTCTCGGTGATTCCAAGCACAGACTCTCCCCGTTTCGGCCCAGTCCAGATACCTCTCTTCCCAGCCAGCTTGGCCTGGGGTGGGCCCGGTTAGCCGGTCTCTGGAGTAATACAGATCTCTGGGGTTTTATCCCTGAATTTTCGCTGCATTTTCCTGGCGGATCAAAACCGAGCCCCAGTACTCTGACTGCATAACAATCAGCCACCTAACATGCAAACACTGAAGAATCTTCTGCTGCAAATTTAATAACTGCTCATGTAATTTCACAAATATCTCGTCGTGCCAAGACAAAGAAAATACGTGACATTAAACATATCTTACATCTAAGGAGCAACAAGAATGGACAACCTATTGATACTGCTTCAGGAAATTCTTAGGCCATATTGAATTTATCGGTCATCTGCTGCGAGGGAACATTTGTGTCATGAGAGAGGAAAAAGCCATAAAATTACGTTTTTTTGGATCGGTACCCAGGCTTCAGCTTGACCCAGATAGACACTAATGGGTTTCCTTTAAATATCAGTGTTTTATGAATTCTGGTAGTGGAATTTATGTTTCTTATTTGTTTACTTATGCATCTGCAACACAAGCCACTGAGATGAATGCATGGGCTTCCGATTCCCTCATCTCTATGAAAATTGCTAGTAGTGCACCGATTGTGCCAGAAACCGAAGATGATTGTAATCTTACTGCTGCAGAACAGCGAGAAGTCAATTTCATTCCGCATTTGGTTATTGAACTTCTATATCAGGGTTCCCCAATTCCAGTCCTGGAGGGCCAGAATGCAACACAGTTTGCAGAGTTCCCTGCTTTAACACATTTTAATCAGCTAATTAGCAGGTTTAGTAGGTGTCCTTGAGCAGGGAAATCTGCAGACTGTGTTGGATTCTGGCTCTCCAGGGCCGGAAGTGGGGAAACCTGTTCTACATGTAGAAAATTTAAGCAGAGAAGTCTGAATTTTTGTGATGTTTCATAATACTGACTGTACTTCATATGTTAGACTGTATCAGATTATAACAAACCAAAGTGTTTTTGGAGCCCATCAGATTAAACATCAGGAATAATTACCCAATTCCGGAGTGACATATTGAGCAGAGGTCTTACACTACAACTGCAGATGTTATATTATCATGTTCACATTTGTTCGAAATGTTTACTGGCAGCGTCATATACTGTAGGAAAGCTTCCAGAAAACATTCTTCAGAAAAGAAGAGACGTTTGCTGTATCTCACAGCGACTATTGGATGCGTCACTGAAATCTCGATAAGGGAATCTGAAAGCCAGCGTTTTTGAGATGGCGAGGTAGAATCAGACACTCATCGACCGTTTTTCCTCCAAAACTGGCGGCGATTTTTGTTTTTGCTCATAAAGGGAAATAAATCCTTAGACGCTGAACATTGGACCTGCTGTCCTTAGTGCTTCCGCTATTAGATAGAAAAGTGACCATGCAGTAGTCAGCTACTGCAAATATGCACATTGAACGATTAGTCCCGGTTTAAATCAAACCGCTTTCGCAGGGTGGTCTTCAAACTGGCTCCAGCTGCATTACTCCAACAGATTCAGCCCTTTTCCTACTGCCGGTCTAGTCTCACATCCCCTTCCTGGTGGTTGCCACACGTCTCCGTCTGTGGCACATCTCTCCTTATCTAGCTCCCATCCTCTAATCCAGCACTTCTGAAACAGCCACTCGCTATCTTAATGCTGCAGCCCACAAAGAAAGTGTTTCTTACCAAATTTTAGACACCCACACAGACACACCACAATTTAATCGATCAGTCAGAACTACTAACTAAGCTACACGAACGTCATTGTGTCATCTGCGTACATTATGGTATATCTGTCTCACGAATCTGAAAGGCTGCACATCTCCAAACTGATCCAGGTTGGACTGCATCCAGAAAAGGACTGAAAAGCATAATGTTCATTTGCCAGAAAGGAATTTACACACGTTTCTAATAAATCTTTCTTACAAATATATTCAGGATATATGTTACAAGGGCAGTTGAAAATGGTGACTTTTTAAGTGAAAAAAGAGTGTTATTTATACAGGGGGCTCACATCTATCTGAATTATTTCCAAAGAATCGACCCATTAGTCACTGAAATGACTTGGTCTGCCCGGAACACTTCATCTTCAGCTACAGACAATGGCATTTTCTGGCTCCACCGGACACTAGTGGCAACGTAAGATGTACTGGAACTTCAGGCAAGATGACACTTTTATTAGACCAGGGACCCTTTTATTTACAGTTTACATGGCTTGGAATCACTGCTGGATAGTAAAATGGTGAAAGGTTATGAATCCTCATTAAATGTGAAGTCCTCGGGGCTCCATAATTACTCGCTCATGATCAGGAGGGTGTTTAATAAAATGAAAACCTCGAGTTCAAAAAGTATTTCCCGCTGTTCTTTTTATGGTACTGACTTCAGCAACACCAATGCATTGGTGTGTGGGGGGGGGGAGGGGGGCTATTCACTGAAGCTTCACCTTGCATTTTAGTGCTCCCACATTTGCCATGAAACTGTCTTGGCTC